AGTTAACATATTAAGTTTTACATTTTACATATACACTTGCCTTTACCATTAAGTATGTACTTGGTCACAAAGTAATTTCCATTTTACATATACACTTCCATAAAACCATTACATGCAAATATGCAAATCGTTATCAAATCGTATATTTTCCTTTTCTTCCATTACATGCGTGCGATATATATAAACTATGTTACATGCGCTATATGCGTCTCTAATTATTTTTCTCTAGCAAATTTCAATTGAACGTAAAGCTGTCACGTCAGTTTAATTGGTATGCTAATTGATTGACAACTAAGCAAGGTTACTTTTTAATTATTACAAACTTGAGGTTACATCTTTTCAAATGTTTCTCAATTAATATATAGGGGATTAGTTTTCTTAAAAACAGATTTAACTATCTTCACATGGATCATTTAATCTGCTACACCTTTCACAAATATGCCATAAACTAATATAATATGGACTTCTGAAGACACATGAGTTAAATCCCATATATTTGATGTTCGGTTTTGTATAAGTCCTGGTTTGATTTGTTCAATGAGGCAATAGGCAAGACCTAACGTAAGTAATAATTTTTGCCATTCTATTTCTTTTGAGCCTATGAAACACAAAAGGGAGTCTGAGAATTCAATCATGTTTTACTCAAAAGGACAAAAACCAGTCCTCTGCTTGTCATGTTTGGATTCCTCTGCTTCTTCCCACGCACTCGCTCTTTTTATCAAACTCAATCCTCTGCATCTACATTATAACATTGGTGTTGTTCTCATCTTCCTCTTTACTCGCTCAAGCCTCGATCTTTATTTTCCGTAGTTGAACTCCTAGAGCAGCTACAATCTCTCTTCTCTTGTTGTTGGCCTCCTCTAGGAAGGCAGCAAAAAATCTGGGCTGTGAAGAGGAGTTGTTGCATCAACAGATCTTGAAGGCAGAAACTCTCCTCATTACAAGTGAATGTCATGTGAAGTACTCAAAGAGAAAGAAACAGAGGGAATTTAAACATGAAACTTTCTCTATTTAATGTTTCACAAACTAGGACAACTTGTTGTCCCTAATGTAAATAACTTCTTACTGAAGATGCGAGCGAACATAATTAACGTTTGCAAAATCAAGACGAACATAGCAAGAAGTAGACAAACTCAAATTTTACTTAATTGAAAGAACAATTTATTACATGAGTTCCATTAAGACATTTAAGATACAAACCACACATACTGGTTTGAGTTCGATCAAAAACTGATCGAGAGACACAAACCGAACATATACTCTCCTAAAAATTACATGAACAATAACTCATCATCAGACCATAAGAGCTTCTGATCATCATAGGATGCCAAACCTTCAAAAAAAAGAATCAAAATCAATATCTTCCAATCTTCTTTCTGCAGGAGATACAGAGTGGTTGTTGTTGGAGGTGTTCTCAGATACAACAACAGGCGGTGGTACTGCATCATCATCACAAAAATCTTGGAGGAGTCGAGTAAGTTCCATCTCGCTCCATTCATCCAAGTCATCGTCAGGTGAAATCTCAACCTTGTCCTCGTCCTCGTGCTCCACCGTTGTTGTTAGGGTTTGATCCTTCAATGCCTTGAGATGGCTCATGAGTACTTCCATTGACTTCATCGCTTCCATAATCTCTTCCCGATTCTTAGAATTGACAAGCCTCTCGTCGTTCCACCAAAACCCTAACCCTAGATCCATGCGAGACATACATATACCTAAGTCTTCTCTCATCGCTTTGGTATCACTCGAAACAGGAGGGAGTCTCTTTCCGGATAGATAAGCAGAGATGATTGATTCAACGGAGGAGTGACCAAAGGAGAAGAAAGAAGCGTTGGACTTTGGAGTCGCTAAGATGGCGATTTGAGCGTCGGAGAGAACGCAAAGCTGAGCCG